GAGCACTCACCTCATCCAGGAAGCCTTCCTGGGTTACTGCCCCAGTTCCACCCCATTTCCCACCTCTGCTTTGGAGACTAGGACTCAGGTTCTCCTACCACCCCACTCTGTCCTGTGCGCACATCTCTAAGGTGTCCTCAAGCCACCTGGCCTTGCTTACTTGGCCTTGAGGGCATTGATGATGGAGTGCCTCTCATTCAGGGCTTCCTGAAGCTGCCCCACGCGCGCTGCCGACGCCCTGTGGGCAGAGGAGGGTCCTGGGAAACCGAAACCCCAGAACCCTCCTGGACCCTCTCAGTGTCTATGGCACCTACCACTGACCCTCCAGCCACCTCCTTGGGAGGCACAAGCTACGGGTGCACCTGTGGGCAGGTGACTGGACCTGCACCCCAGGTGCCCCAGCTGATCCACAGCCCAGGCCCCCCATGACCCGCCCCCCAACCCCCCCATGGCTCCCACGGCCTGCCCTCGCCCGGCCGGCCCACCTGCTGCCCCTTGCCATCTCTTCCCGCTGCTTATCGATGGTCTCCATCAAGTCCAGGAACTGGGGACAGAGCCCGGACAGGGGGTCAGGGTCGAGCCTGCCTACTCTGCCTTCCCCGGGGGAAGGAGGGCAGACACCTACCCAGACAGCCTCACTGTCTCACTCAGAGGGACGCCTGGGGGCTCAGACGCCAGCTCTCTGGGAAACCCACCCAGGAAGGTCAGGCCAGGAGGCTGCCTCTCCTTTCTGACTATGGGCCACTGGGAGAGGCGCCGGGGCCCAAAGTAAGGTTAAGATAGGTGCGCCTCGGGGCTGAGGGGGGGCACAGGCCCCAGCTGGCAGCAACCCTGAGGTCAGTGAAGACACCAGCCTCACCTGCTTGGACTTCTCCTCCCGGAGGTGCTGGACCTCCTTGCTGAGGACGTGGGTGCGGGCCTGGCTCTCTCGGAAGGTGGCCTGCCGGTCCTGGTTGTGGTCCACAGCCTGCTCTGTTGGGGGAGCCGTGTTACCTGCTGGGGCTGCTCGGCACCAGCTCGGCCCTGCGCCTGGAAGCTCGCAGCGTGGGGATCAACCCCAACAGGCGTGTCTCGCCCACCGGAGCAGGCGCATTCCTCAGCGCACGCGGGTGGATGGCTTCAGTGGGGTGGGGCCCCGCACACGGTGGGGGGCCTGGTGCAGGGACACGTGCGCACGTCAAGTAAAGGCAGGTGGGCTGTCCTGGGACATTTGGCCTCCTTCCCAAAGGTCAAGGGGCACTGCCCAACTTTAAGCTCAACTCCTGCGTCCTGGGAAGATCCAGGCAGCATGCGGAAAGGGGGCACAGGCAGTTGTAGCTGTGCTGGTCGGAAGAAACCTTGACAGGAAGGGCAGTGCGGAGGCAGAGAGGGGGACAGTGAGAAGTTGGAGATGACAGAGGGGCCGGGCAGAGCTGGCAGGAGGTGATGACCCCTTGGGCTGGGAAACTTGGGGCTTGGGGCCCGAGGCTGAGGTGTCGGCTGCGGACTCTTCACAGCCTGGGGAGTCGCTGGGGAGGGAATGGGAGGTGCAGCGCTGGCAGCAGCAGCACAGGCCAGGTACCCGGCTCCCATGCAGGGCCACAAACTCAGGGCTGACCGGGGGCAAATGCCAAGCCCTTCCCTGGCTGTGTCTGGGCCACCTGAGGTATCAGCACACCCATCACCCATCAGGCAAGAGCTCCGAGCCACGCGGCCTCATCTTCCCCATCTGTGAGACAGGTCACATGGGAACTGCAGGAGCACGTGAGGAGCCTTGGAGGTGCCTGAGCAGCGAGCGCCAAGCAAGTGCACTGCGGCTGCCCTGCGGCTCCGTCCCTGTTCCTCTCGGTCCTTAATTTAGGCTGAGCTTCCGGGGTCCCAAGCCACCCCCTCCCTCCGCAGAAGGGCTCCACCAAAGGGCTCACGCCTTAGTCTGCACACCCATACCCACGGCCCTGAGGACGTCTCCAGGGACGTTGTTCCCAACCAGGTCCAGCCTCCACAGGGTTCTGTTGCTGGGGAGACAGTTCACCAGGGCCCGGCCACCCAGAAGGCCAATGTTATTCCAGCGCAGGTCTGGAATGGAAACCTGTTGTCACCGGATGGAACGTGCCTGGAGGAAGGGGAGCTGGCCCAGCCTGGGGTGCTCCCTTTCAGGGTCCTGCCTGTGGCTGTCAACGCAGTCAGTGTGCATGCAGGCCGGCCCTGCCACCCCCCTTCCATTCCGAGGCCAGAAGCTGCAGGGGAGCAGCGGGGGGCACGGAGGTCCGCCGGGGAGGCAGGCAGTCGGGGTGCCCTCACCCAGCTGCTGGAGGCTGGCGTTGCCCTTCAGGGCCAGGGCCAGCTCCTCCGCTCCCTTGTGGCTGATCTGGTTGTTGCGGAGGTCCAGCTGCCGCAGGGTGCCGTTAGCCGCCAGGCCCCCACAGAAGGTGGCAAAGGCGTCTTCCCACGCACCCAGGTGGTTCCACTCCAGAATGAGGCTGCAGGAGGGCAGGCATGAGGTGCTCACCCAGAGGTGTGGCCTGCCCTACGGGGTCCAGGGCTTCGGGAAGACTATGGGTTTGGGGGGTCTCTGGCGGGGGGGGGGCTTCGTCACTTATACCCGCCTGCTCCCTGCCAGTGGATGTGAAATGTGGACAACTGGCTGGAGGAGTGAATTCTCGGGTCGCAGGACTGTGTCCTTTGGGGCCAACCTTGAACCACACAGAGAGAAGGCTGGGGATGAGGGTGGGGGCCGGGACCACCACTCTACCTCTGAATGGACTTGTTCTGTCGGAGGAGTTTTCCCAGCACCTCGGCCCCTGCGGCTTGAAGGTTATTGCCCTAGGACAGGAACAGGCTAGCCAGTCACTCTTGCCACCTTGGCTGGGTTCTGAATGCCATATCCATGCCCCATAGGGCCTCCGCCAGGCAGTGGACAAAGGCAAGGGGGAGCTCTGTTGGGTGAAGGTGCAGCTCCTTTCGGGTCCTGGTTTCTCTGACTTTAGCAAGCTTTCTGGGGCCAGCTCACTCAGCTTAGGTGAATACCCTCAAAACACTCACACATGTATGAGACAATCAGAAAACTGCCTGGGAACCCTGTGTGCCAAGACCACTCACAGACAACAGTTTCCAGCCCCTAAGTCCTTGGGACCTGGGGTCTCCCTGCTCCACTTTTACTCCTGGGTGGCACACCCCCGAGTGTAGATATGCTCACCTTTAGGTCCAGAAGCCACACCACCGTGTTGGTGCACAGCCCTTGGAGCAGCAATGTGGCCCCTGTGCAGGGGGGAAGGGTGGTCACTCCCTGCCCCTGCTGCCCCAATCCCTTCCCAGGGCCTAGAGGAAGGGAAAATGGGTGCTCCATCTCAGGTAAGCTCCCCACATTCAGCGGAGGGACAACTGTCCTGGTGGTCCCACTGATCTGGGTTCGTGCTGGAATGAGTCTCCCCACTTAATGCTGTGAAGTTACGTTTGAAGCATCTGCGGCCCTTGCTAGGCAACAAGCAGGGTGCTGAACCCACACTCTGGCCAGCCCACAGGAACCTCAAGGCTTCTCCTGTTACAAAGAAAAACTGTTCTCCACTCTCAGGCTGCAGGAAGGGACGCTGTTGCTCACTTTGTGCTACAGAAAGAGGGACCCCTGTGGCAGCAAACAAGCAGCAGTCCAACCCTGGCGCCCGGGCCTGCCCACCTTCCTCGCTCAGCATGCAGTCGCTCAGGACCAGCTCCCTCAACAGGGCCTCTGTCTGCAGCAGCTTGCCCAGGGCCCTGCAGGTGTCCACCGTCAGGCTCTGCGTGGCCAGGTCCAGACGGTCCCTAGGAAGCTGGTGCAGTTGCTGCAGGACGGCCTCCTGCGGCTCGGCCCCGCTCTCCTTGCACAGGCGGCTGTAGGAGCGCCGGAACTCCTCCATGTCCTGGAGTGTGGGCAGGGCCACCCCCGCATGCTCCTAGAGTCGGGCCTCAGCGAGAGTGCGCCCGGCGCAGGGCCACCCGCCCCAGGCTCCTCTCCCCGCCGGTGCCGGGGCTGCACCCCTCCCTGAATGCCTGTGCGGAGCCGCGCGCCAGGGACAGCCGCTAGGAAGGGGCCCCTCCGTGTGGGGCGATCCTCGGCAGCCGGGATGAGGAGCAGCCAGGCCGCTTCCAGGGCGGGCGTCCCCCGGCACCGAGGCTGTGGAGGCCCTGGTGGGAGGTCAAGGGCCGGCTAGACGCAGGCTCGGGGGAGACTGGGCGGCGCGGTCGGGGCCACCCGCGGGTGCGTGGGCCCCGCGGCCCAGGGAGCAGGCAGGAGCGCCACGTGCCCCGGCCCACCCGACCCCAGCTCTCGCGCCGCCGCGCCTCGGTATCCAGGAAGAGCGGGGCGCGCCGGGAGGGGCCCCAGGACTACGACTCCCGGGAGGCTTTGCGCAGGCGGCGCTCGCCGCGAGCCAATAAGGACGAAGGGGCAGGCACGCGCTGAGGGCCGCAAGCGGAGCAGCAGAGGCAGTGCGTTTCGGATCATTGGCTGGGGAGTTGGGGGCGGGGCTCCGGGGGCGCGCTCAGGATCATTGGCTGGGGTTCTGGGGGCGGAGCTCCCTAGGGCGCCCTCTGGCCTCACTGGCAGGGGTCCGGGGCGGTGCTCTGGAGGCCGCGCTCCAGTGATCGGCTGGGGGCCCGGGGGCGGGGCTCCCGAGGGCGCGCTCCAGGCTCATTGGCAGGCGGTGCAGGGCGGGGCTCCGAGGCAGCCTTCAGCTCATTGGCGGGATTCTCGGGGCGGAGCTCCCGAGGGAGCCCTCCAGGCTCGCCGGCTGGCGTCGCGGGGCGGGGCTCCCGAGGGCGCGCTCTGGGCTCATTGGCTGGCGGCGCAGGGCGGGGCTCCGGACGGGCGCAGGCTGTAGTCATGGAGGGCGCCGGCGCGGGCTTTCGTAAGGTGAGGGCCAGCGGGCTGAGGCGAGGCCGGCGCGAACTCTGCGGCCTGGCCCCCACGTGACACCGCGCTGCCCACCTGCGCCCCGCGCTCTGGGTGGACCGGGTGGGCGGCCCGCACTGCGGTGAGGCGGGAGGGTCTGCAGACCCGCCAGGGACGACGGCTCCGAGGGGAGCGGGGCCGCCGTCCGCCCCGCCCGGGGGTCTCCTCCCCTGGGAAGGTGGGATGCGGCAGGACCTGCCCAAACCGCCCAGTCGGACCTTCCCTTCTGCCTGCGTCCGCGTGGCCAGGTCCCGCCTGGATGCCGTGGGCTTCTGAGCGCTCCTCGGCGGCACACCTGGCACAGATTAACCCCGCGTGCCTGTGGGGAAACCGAGGCACGGAGAAGTCAGGGGACGGAGCAGGGCTGGGCACTGACCTATGCCGTCTGGCCCAGGGTCTGGGCTTCCCTGCGCCTGGGAACGCAGCTCGCTCACAGGGGCACCTGCGCAGGGGACCCTTGGCAGGCAGAGTGGTTTGAGACCCTTCACTGCTCTGCCTGGGGGCTGAGAGGCACTGAGCTACCTTGAGGTCAGGAGGGCTCGTGGGCCTTCGTGGCCTGGGGAGGGAGGGCCTGAGCCCCTTGTGCACCCCTCCCTGGTGGAGGACTTCGACCTCGGAGTGGCTCTCTACCGATAATGGGGAGCTTCATCCTACCTGCAGCATCCCTTCGCAGCTTGGGACTAGCGCTCTGGCCTTGCCCAGAAAGGGTTAGTGACCCGACAGGGAAAGTCACCTCAGAGGGTGGTTGAGAACACACCAGGTCACAAATAGTTACAGCAGCCGGTCTGTGACTCTCCACCAAGCCGACCACAGCTAGAGTCCTGAGGAGGCGGCCAGTCCTTGCCTGAGGGCTCTGGACAGAGCTGGGTGGGGTCGTGGTGGTTACACACAAGGCTAAGCTTTGGGGTAACGAGGTGGGGGGAATGCAAAGGCTGGGTGCATTCTAGGCCCCTGCCCCTTAGTGCTGGGCCTTCCCTCATCCTGCCTCCCCCGAGGTCACTGCCACTGTGTACAGCACAACTCCTTGCTTGTCCCGACAGCCTCAAGCAGTGGCCGCTCTCCAGAGTGGTCTTCTGGGGCAGCTGTGTTTGGGGTCCAGGAGCAGGTGGGAGGCAGTGCCTTTGCTGCTGCCTTCCATGGTAAGCAGCAGGGAGGACCAGCAGGTGGCACTGAGCTGGCGTGGTCACTGACAAGGACCCCTGCTGCTGTGGGGGGCTGTGAAGGGCTTGGGGTGAGCCCTGCCCTGCACCTCAGGGCTTCGCCTGGTGTCCACTCCCCAGCTTTGTTAAACTACGCTGGGTGCCACTGCTCACCCTCCCCTGAACACTCCCGTTTCTGGACTCCTGAGTGCTCCCTGCTGCCCCCGTTGCTCTGTGCTGGCTCCTTTCCCAGCCTCTTCCAGCTGGACCCTGCCCGTGGCACCTCACTGGGTCTCACAGCTTCACAAAGGGCCCACCCAGAGTCCCAGCTTGGGCTCCAGCAGCCCACCTGCCGCTCCACCCCGACAGCTCACACACTCCAGCTGTGTGCCCCCATCTCCACCAAGTGGCACCATCCCCTCAGGGCCTCAAGCCACAGCAGAGTCTGGGCTTGGACGTCCTCTTGTCCCCATCCTTGGCCCCTGGAGGGGCCGAAGACAGGCCCATTCCACCACCTCCCTGCTCCCTCTCGAGACCTCAGTGCCACAGAGGTCCTTCCGAAGGCCAGCGCTGCCCTTCCACTCAAACCCCAGAAAGAACACCTGGTTTCCTGCCAAGGGAAGCTGAACAGGCCCTCAGGCCCCGTGCCTGGCCTGTCCACACGGCACTGCACTCCAGCCTCACTGACTTCCTTCCTGGGCTTGGACAAGCCAAGCTCTGCGCTTCCCCCGGGCACCAGGTGTCAGCTCCAGAGTGGGGCGACCCAGCACCTAGGACAGGGTCTGGCACGAGGCTGTATTGGTGGCAGGTCTGAGGCTGTGGCCCACCTGGGGAGCAGCTACACTCCAGCCCCCAGATCCTCCTGGCAGGGATGGGAGGGAGTGTGAGACTGTGCTGGACTCCCTCTTTCCTCCGTCCCTGGAGCCCCAAGGGGTGGCTTTCACTCCCGCAGGGAGGTTTCTCAGCCACCTTCTCACCAGCCTCTTTAAGCAGATCTGGCCTCACCCCACATAGCTTCCTTCACTCGGCACCCCCTCCCCTCCCCTGGGAGAGTCCCTAGGGTGGGGCGCATTTCCATCTGGAAATCACAGCCGGTGTCCAGTGAAGCACCCCAGGGGCCTGCAGGCTGGGAGGGGCCGGGCCGGCACTGACCCTCCCTCCCCTTCCCCTGCCAGGAGCTGGTGAACAAACTGCTGCACCTGCACTTCAAGGACGCCAAGACCAAAGGTGTGGGGGCGCCGGGGGCAAAGGCCTTGGGGAGGGTCTGGAGCCCTGGCCTGGGCGGTGGGGTTCCCAATAACCTGCCCCCCTTGCCTTGCAGTCAGTGGGGACGCACTGCAGCTCATGGTGGAATTGCTGAAGATCTTCGTTGTGGGTGAGCTGAGGGACCCGTGCTTGGCTAGAGTGTTTGCAGTTCCTTTTGTGTTTTTTCAGTGGGAAAACCAAGATGAAAATTTCCCTGTTTCCAGCCAGCACCTGAGCTGTGTGTGCCCTGAAAAGCTGTGTCAGGAGCCACAGCTGCCGCCTCGGGGCTGCCAGCGGGTGCGGGTGGGGAGCCCCCGGCTCCTACCGCTCACTTCCCCTTGTCTTGGCAGAAGCAGCTGTCCGAGGGGTCCGGCAGGCCCAAGCGGAGGACGTCACCCAGGTGGGCGTGGACCAGCTGGAGAAGGTGCTCCCTCAGCTGGTAGGTGCGTGCAGGTGGGCGCAGCTGGGAGCCATGCCCACTGGGCGGCCCTGAGCACTCCTCTCCCCACAGCTCCTGGACTTCTAGGGCTCTCCATCTGGGCGGAGGCTGCCGCAGGGAAGCAGGACCTCTGCTGTGGCCCCAGTTTCAGACAGGGAAGGACCTGAGAGGCCTGGAGCAGACTCAAACCAGAGTTCGCACCACATGCCGGAGACTCCCCTGCAACCTTTGCAGAGCGCAGGGCCACTCAAGCCACCACCTTCCTGGTGTCTTCTGCCCTCTGCTGCGGGACACAGGGTGGTGGAGGGTCTCGAGAGGACAGGCCCACAGGGAAACCGCGCCTGCTGTGCCGATCCCGGGTGGGGGGGGGGGCCGCAGGCGCTGGGGAAAGGCCGGGACCCTCGCCCAGTGAGGCAGCGGTGGGTCGCCTGTCCACACTCCTGCCACCCAGTGACAAAGCCGGTGTGTGACCTCTCAGCCCCTTGGTATTCCCTCATAAGAGCCTTCCCTGAGCTATAAACTTGTTCTTACAAAGCAACATCAATAAATCAAAACTGTCTCTCCCAGGCTGGGCTTTGTTGCCATTAATCACCCAAAGTCAAGTTGCATTAAACCCTCCCCTGCCCCACCCACCCTTGGTAGGACGAAAGCAAAGCCCTCACGGACAGAATAAAAAACAGCATGTGTGCACCCGCCCCGCCCTGGGCAGGGCTGTGAAACTGGAGCCCTCGCACATGTGGCCGCCGGCCTGGAAAATGTTACTCCTGCCACAGGGGCCTTCTGTCCGCAGGAGCTGCCACCAGCGGGCAGTCGCTCCCATGAATAATGTTGTGGCCAGTCTCAGGCCACCGGGCCCACCAGCCATGGGTGGGACCAGGGTGCACAGGCTGAGGGGGACCCTGGCCTAAGGCCACGCTGGAGTGAAAGGCCCCCAGACCCCAGCTTGAAGAGGGTGCGAGTCAGCCTCCGGCTGTGTCCACTGCCCACCCTCGCAGACAGGGAGCTGCCGGGGACCTCTGGCAGGCCAGCCCTGTTTGTGCCAACTCAAGGGAAGCATACAGGGTCTTGGGCCACCCCTGCCCTGCAGTGTCATGGGGTGACTGGGGCCTACCTCCCTTTACCTCCCAAAGCTGCCTGGACCCTGCTTAGCCCAGGATGGAAACACCCAGCTAGGTGCCAGCCGTCCGGAGACTCGACACCCTGGGGCTGGACAGGGAAGGGGAAGGGGGCAGAGTCCAGCCCAGGGGCAGAAGGGACAACAGCTGCCCTGGGGACCACGGGCAGCCTTGGGAGGTCCTATGGAGGCTGCCCAGCCCCCACCACTCAGACAGCAGCCCTCTGTTCCCACTCAGCCAGGCTGGCCCAGGTGGGGCTGGGGTTGGGCAGGTAGAGCTGCCCTCTCTCCCCTCTGGACTTCGAAGCTCCCTTGAGGAAGTGATTAGACCTGCCAGGGAGACAGACAGGCCCTGCAGCCACTCCAGGGGCACCAAGAGACCCAGCCCTGCCCTGCGGGTGGTGGTGGCCTAACTTTCCAGCCCCAGGACTAGGTCATTTGCCCAGAATGGCTTTCTCCATGGTTTTGCTCTCCTAGGCGGGTAATTAATATTAATCAGACAAAAGGAAGGACTGTGGGGGCCCTTTCT